TGATCAGGGTGTACTCAAATCTATTATTACTTTCTCACCCCAGGGAAAAGGTAATTACATAAAAGAATGCCTGCTCTTTAGTGGGAGCAAAAGATAAGTGTCACACTCAGGAAAGAGGAAAACGCTGAGATTTCAGTTGTCTTGTTTTCCTCTGAAAGGAATTTATGAAAACTGTTGGGTAGGGAGAGGGAATGAATGCAGAGCAACCTTTAGAGTGGGAACAAGTCAGCTAAATACAGCAGTCTGTTTTCCAGGCGGAACAATGATTTATACTGCAGATGCCTGCGTAGTCTACTGGAGACCGCTCTAAAGAGATAAAACTGCCTTCAACATCTCCGTGTGAAGCCACAAAAATATTAAGTCCATAATGTATCGAGTGTGCTAATACAGGATTGTTTGGAATATTATATACACATTTTTCTCCCTCAGAACATTTGAAGAGGGAACATGTAAAAATACCCTGAGCCCAAAAGACAAAATTTTTGCTGAATTTGCTCCGGCCTTTATTTGTATTCTGTACCTTCTACTGGAGCCTCTCATGGCACCTAAAACCCAATCACAGTTATTTATTATTTATATTGCTGGAGCACTTCCAACCAAGCCTCACTCAGCACCAGGGCCCTGTTGCTCAAGGTGATGTGCAACCTTGCAGGACACAGAATCCACCCCCAAAAAACGGGAACAGAAACTGCAGCACCACTTAAAAGGTGGGGGAATTTACACCAACTGCCACTACCTTGGTCCTTGCATTTTGACAGATTTCTTGCAAAGGGCCAAGGAAAGAACCGAGCCTTGCCATACCCCAGGGCAATAGGGCAGTATTCATGTGCCTGTAATAGGCCAATCGACTGGTGCAGAAATAGGCCAAGGGACTCATCCAGGATACACGCAAGTCACTGAGGTAGGCAGAAATAAGTGTACCTAAGCTCACACTGCTTGGACACCCTTTTCAGTGCCAGATTTTAACTCAAACAACTGTTTCCCTTGCAAACAAAAACAAGGCGGGGTGCAATTCTTCATCTGCCGAAAAACAGCCCATTTGCTGGGAGGCAAGGTGCAGTAACGCTCAGGCACACGTCACACCAACGTGTCACACCAAAATCTTTGCTGTGTCAAGCCTGAGCCCTCTCGCAGCGGGCTCTCTTCCCAGCCCCTCGCAGATCAATGGTCTTTCCTATTAGGAAAGCAGGAGCCTGTAAACATGGTTATTGCAGGTCCTTTCCTGTCTTCAGTCTAGCGTGGCCATCCTAATAACCCTTCCCTTAAGCTGACTCGAGCCGATTGCTGCTGGAAAGTCATTGGACTAAATTTACCCCCTTGTGGAAGTGGGTGCAAGTCTCACGAAAGCTCCTCAGGAATATTAGGGACTTACATACACAGTGCTTTAAACTCATAAGTTGGATGTAGAGAGATTGTAAAATGAGCTGTAAGGACAAATTTACATAAACTTGGACTAATGGCAGTCACTGGGTATTCAAAACCAGTGCAACTTTCCCCAGGGGGGTAGTGGTAGCAATAAATAAATAAATAAATAAAAATGCAGCTACCTGGAGAGCCTAAATTAAAACAGGCTCACCACCTCCGGTTATTACTGCTGTTGTTATTTCTTACGCGCTGACACCGAGGTCAGCGTTTTACAAAGCACAAACGTTGAGATTGTTTCCATCTGTAGTGGGACAGCAACAGCAGTGCAAGATGCAGCAGGAGAGCCAGAGAAAGGAGTTTACAGCTTGTTTCTCCATTTCGTATTGTTGTGTGCATGCCACATGTGAAATAGTGGAACTTAAGGAGAGAGCAGTGAAAGGGGAAAGGTAGTACTAGGACAGAAGGGTGGGAGGTACAACGGCAATACAGGAAAACAAAGTTTCTACCCTTCCTTTTTCACCGTCACCCCCTGATCTAGACACACAGCAATTCTCCCCCACTCACTGGAGCGGCTGATGTCTTCTTTGCTTTGCCATTTACACCCATTGAAGGATTAGTGTATGTATGTAGTGACCCCATAGGCACCTTCCCCCTTTAACCCAGCTGGCACTCAGGGCTGCCAAGGGCGCACGCTGTCTGCACGAAAGTGTGAAGGGCAGGCCTCCCACTCTGTGCTTCCTGCAGATGCTGGTAAGAAGCAGAAAGCCACCAGAAGAGAACATGACTGATGAGGAGAGTGCGCATCTAATAACTGCCTCTGCATGACTTGCAGCTTGGCATTTGTTTTCTTTATTTGCCCGTGTGCAGGTAGGGGTTCCAAGCCCCTCTGGTTTGCAAGCTACCAATTCACATTTCTCCTTCCTAATACAAAATTTACATGTGGATATTAAAACCCCAGCTTTTAACATTTTTAATAAAAGTGACAATTAAATTGCAACAAGAACAACAGCGAGCGTATTTAAAGCTACATGTTAAGTTTCATCGGGGTCCAGAGTACGTATTAAAAAAATCCAACAGAGAAAAAGAAGTTACTTTTAAAATAAATGTAATCATTTTCTAAAAATGGAGATTTTAATTTGTCTTTAAAATTCTTTCCTGCTTTACAAGTCCTAGATGGGAGTCTGTTTAGCTCCAGTGCCTCTCAGCACAGGTTTATCTTCATTCATACAAGTATCAGGCATTAGGGGTTTATTCTTCCCTAGATGTATGCACATAACTTTCATTAACTTTATTGGAAATTCTGTGCATGCATAAAGAGAAGTGATCCCATTACAGATTTGTGTCACATACTGGTACCTAGAGTTGAACAGTATATAAAGTTGGAAGTGGTGTGAATAAAGGTAGCATTTTAAATGTGGGACACTTTTAGGGCTCATTTTTCTGCCTGTGCAAAGCTGAAATGAATGGTATTGTTAGATTATAAGCTCTGTGAAGCAGAGACTGTTACTGCGTGTAGCACTTTGCACAATCAAGCTCCAGTCTTGCAGTATAAATAGATCATACCAAATATTTCTACTGATGCTAATACTTCAGCAGAGTGGGAAACAAAATCCCCACAACATGAAAATAAGTCTCAATGCATTTTGTGGGAGAAAGGTACCAAACTGACCACAATTACCAAGTGCAGCTTATGATTTTGGGGTGTTTAACTAGCTCATGACTTTCCACAACAGCAAAACCCCCTGTCTGTCCAAAGTTGGGCTCTCCAGATCACTAGCTATCACAGATATGGTTCTATGCAAGCTTGGTTTAGGAACCACTGAGTGATCCACCTGAGGTTACGGACAGATTTAATAATTACACTGAATTAAAAGAGTTGGGCAACTGTTCTAACAGTTTCATGCATCCACCATCTTTCAGTAAAGGGTGGGGGGGTTAGCTTCTTAATTGTAGAAATAATTAGGAGCTTTGCCCAGAAGCTGTCAGTCCAACCACTGAACACTGCTGATTACATGAAGGCATCAAGAAAAGGCATTTGGGGCAGAAGAGCGTGGCTTTTCTTAGACCGGTGCCATGCAGGGGTTGTCCTGAGGGAAACAGTGAAGACAGTGGGGCTGAGGCTCGCAGAAGCAGTAGAGCAGAAAGAGTGAGATGCCATTCAACGACACACAAAATTGGCTGCGTAAGAAGGGAGAGCAAGACCAAAAGTGGAACCTGAGCATACAGTTTGCATGGGTAAGACAAGGAAGGGCAGGTCTGGGAGAAGCAGCGGGGAGCAAAATAAATATTTCTTGCATCATCATGTTCTGGTCAGCAAAACAGAGAAACACTAACAAACACACAAACCAAAAAAAACAGTGCTAGCAACATTACAGAAGCAGTTTGTACAGCTTTTGCTTATACATAGCAATTTAAGATGCAAACAAAACATGAAAAGCTAATCCAGAATTAACAATAGGCCAGATGGTAATGCTAGTCTGAAGCAATAAACTTGAAAAATAGCTTCCTACTGCTACCACTGATCAATTTCCCTATTTAATAATTTAATCAAAAATGCATGTTTCTGCTACCATACATATTCAGCTTTAGAGGGGGGGGCTGTTTTTTTAGTATTAATTTACTCATTCATCAGCAAAATTTCAGCTGTGGTTTAGAGCAGGAGAACTCTTAGACCTTAAAATGATAATTAAGATGCAAACTTACCCTCAAAGGTTTGGATTTAAGCCTCTCTCTCCTGCCAACAAAGCTGCAATAAGTTAGCTGCTGTCTGCAGCACCTTGATAGAACACCCACCTTGCTGCTCCAATGAATTTTATTATTTAATGAGTTTCTCTTTCGATTAAAAAAAAAATCTTCAAACTTAAATGATTTGATAAAAAAGGAGTCAATTTAACAGCTGAGTTGTAGTGCAAGTTTCTGCTAGAACATAGTGTACCTCCCTCACTTATGAAGCCAAAGGTAAGGAGAAAGATGAGTCGTGTGTCAAACTCAATATGTGAAAGTTGGCTAAAACGACATAATGGATTTGTTTAAAAATAACCCAATTTGGGAACAAGACCTAACCAACAAAGCAACTAAATGTGTGTACTTGGGGCACCTGAATGAGTCTCTTGTTTGTCAGACTGTGCAAGTTACTATATAATGCAGGACAACACCTAATTACACTATAATCAATAGACTTGAGAACTCACTGGGAATGTTTTTAAAGGAACTATGGATTTTGAGGGCCTGGGTGAGGTTTCACAACATCAGCTTCTGTAAATATAGATACAAAGGTACTCTAATGTGTACTAAGAGGTTACTGATGCATGCCAGGGGTTCAGCACATAAATGGAAGACAAAGTTCTTCAGCCACCAGATCAGTCCAGGAGCAAGCGATAGGAAGCCTCCCTTCACAACCCAAAACTACACCTGCAGAATGGCTAGTACAAATCTGGAGGGCTAGAGAAAGCCAGGTCTGACTAGTACTTCCATCTTCCAGCCAGAGGAAAGCCACGATATAACCAGCCCGAATTCTCCACTGAGATGCACGTGCTCTGTTTTTTTCACAGATTTTACTAGAAACATGGTGTGCACTTGCGAGCAAAGCCTACATCAAAAGGAATACTTACATCCTCAATACAAAATGGTATTACCTGATTCTTTGTGGTCCATCCCCATGCTGTTCCACCTTCTTGTGATATCAATGTAGAGAATATCTACTGTGGCCATGGAGAAGTTGCTGTTACTCAGCTTACAGTTCCTGTGAAATGGACACAAAATGAAGAGGAAGAGAAACACTCTGATTACTTCCAAAATGATCAGAAGGCTAAGGGGAGGGAGATGGGCAAGCATGAAGACATGCAGAGCTTGGGACAAGGCTATTGAAGTCCAGGCACCAGTCAGACAAGTGCTTATTTCATACATGCATAAGGGTACAACAGAGAAAGCTCTGCATGTTCTCAGTTATAAAGCCTGTCACACACACAACCCACCTTTGCATTTGTGTAGAGCAGTTGGTGGTGGGGGGGGGGGGGGGGGGGTCAGCCTTTTTGGCAGGCATGCCACAAATTAACCCTCCACCCTTTGTCACCTCCCCAGTCTGCCCGGGTCACTTGTGACACCTGTACCACAGGTTGCCCATGCCTGGCATACAGCTTCCAGACAACAGCACTTCTGGAAGGAGCTGAGGAAAAAAGAGTGCTCTGGCTATTGCCATGCATCTAAATCAGTTGCAAATTCAATGCATTCAATTACATGACAATATGCTGAGAACAAGAGGCACCAGGTCAGATTAAGGATTAGCTAACTACTGCACATGATTTTCAATTAGCTGGGTTTTGCTAGAGAAAAGAAAAGGAAATAAAAAGGGATTAAAACATTCAACACTTTCAGTTAAAATATGGCTTGACCAATTGTCACATAAGAATAATCCCTGGAGAAAGCTGTTCGAGTCCATCCCCAATTGAAGCTTGCTGATCCACTGGAAATGCCAGCATACATCTCTATGGCATATCCAATGGCCTGCTAAACGTGCTGCAACCATTACGTAAGGATTCAGTTTGATCAGCTACGACTAGCATGAACTGGGTCTGAAGCCACCTACTCTCATGTATAGGAGACAGCGATGTGCCATCGCTCCCTTGTGGATCGACTTCTTGCTTCTGAAGCAGGTAACAAGGGCAGAATGTCTTGCCCATTTACTGGAGGATTCTTGGAAAAGAAAAAAAAATTGTGGGAGGGGAGCAAATATGCAATGTAGATCTTTTTAAAAAAAAAAGAAGTCAGGTTTTTCTGAAAAAGGAGGAAATGAAGAAACATCAGGGAACAGCAAAGAACGAGTTCTTTCAGTGAGTCTGTCTATCCATCCTGAGTTTTATATTATATTATCAGTATTTTCATCACCAAGGTATCTAAGGCACCAACTGTGGTGAAAGCAAAGCTTGTACCACTTCAAAACTTGGCTACCTAGCAGAAAAAGCATAGCAGGGAACAACAAGGCACTGGCCTGTGGATGGAGCAGATGCCCCAACATATTTTCCCTCTGTAATTTGTATAATTCTATTTGTTTCTCTTCATTCATTCATTCATTCTTGAATGCTGAAGGTGCCTGCATGGAAACAGGATCTCTGTACTTCAGGAGAGCATCTGCTCCCACTCTTTATTCCTTTTGTCATAGTTGGTGACAGACAGAAGATAGGATACTGCTATCATGATGGAACATGCATATCCATAAAAAAAAACCAATGAAAATGAAAAATAAAAAAAGTATATGAAAAAATAAATTGAATTCCGTGCCCCTGCACGCTGCAGTTTCCCCAGTGAAAATCATTAGCACACAATGCATCAGTGACCGGCATTCAGAAAGCCTCTCTCCTGGCCGACAGCAGCAGGGCATGCAGCCACATCTAAGAGCAGATCTAAGTCGCCGGACCTCAATAGTCTATTTTCCCTAATTTTGCAACACAACCTCACTCCCAATCCTATGGTTTACTAGAGATAAAACAAGTTAATCTAGACCATAGAAAGCACTGAACAGTTGTTCCACATCATAGATCTGCTGTGGAATAAAGGCCTAAGCGTACTTTCTGAATACAGTTGTACGCTGTGGGTCAGTTGATGCCCATCTGTTGCCTTCCTTAAAGCTAGACACGTACCTAAATAACAAGAACTGCAAAAGGAAATCATCTTCCTCTCCAATGCTATTACTTTCCTCATTTGTGATATCTGAATAATGCATGCTATGGTGTCCCAGAACTTGCTTTTCTACATACAAATATGGGAAGGAATAATAACTTTTCTAGGATGCCTATATAGCCAGCAGATAAAACCCACAGTTTCACTTGAACTGAGCAACAACCCGAAACAGTTCAGGACTGCAGGCTACATAAACAAAGAGCAGAACCAGACTGACTTTCGCACAATGTTTTGAAAGCCATGCAAGAAGATGCACAACTTTTTTTTATCTTGGTACAGAACTCTCCAAAGCCACAGGCTTTGTATGCGTGTTCCAGGCACAGACGTGCCAAAGGCACGAGAGGATGGGCAAACCTCAACAGAAGGGTTAGACATTCCCCTAAGTTAAGGCATACCTCTGCTACCAACACCTGCTCGTTTAACACAAAAAAGGAGTCTCAGTTACTCAAACAGTACATCAACAAGCTAGAAAAGCTGTAGTGGGGGGAAGTTAAGTTAAGTTAAAACTGGGTGGGCGCTCTCAGGAAAAAATACACTGAAGTGTCAGCTCTGGATAAACTCCCTGGACTTCTGTTTAACCATTTTGGGCAGCCAGTTCATACACCACCAAAAGATGCTTTGTTCTTTTTTGTCCTTCTGCACTTACTGCATGTTTCCCATCTAAACAGATAATCCAATGGGCACGTCTACATGTCGCGCTACAGCAACGTAACAATCCTGTGCATCTACACATGACCAGCAGCTACTTTGCCGTAGCACCACACTCCCACATTATAGCACACTGCTATGGCAAAGTAGCAGCTAAAAATAACCATGTGCCGTGTGTACGGCGCAGTATGGGTGGCATCATAATTTCCACAAGGGCCTGGGTCACAGTTAGCGCACCTCGAGCCAACTTAAGAAAATGGTGCTTCCTAGATATTGATACTACGTATTGCCCTTATGTACCTATTGAGATACTGGTTTAGAGTATCGGGCTTATATAGTTAAGGAAATGAAGTAAACACACTTAGATAGTCCTTATTTCACAGGTAGGAAAACACCACAAGGCTGGCTAGATATCAGCACAATTCACTCCAATGGCCAGCTCTTGCAGCACATTTCAAGAGATGAACACCATGACAGTGAGCTAAGACAGGGCACGCTATCTTTATTTTCTCTTTTTCTGGGAGGTGCACAGAAGAGGACAGTTCAGTTTTGCAAGGGTATTTCACATTAGTAGCTCTATGTTAATCCCTCCATTGCTCATGCCAGTTACATATGCTGTATTTTCAGAGAAAGGCCTAGGATCAAACTATCAGTTTATAATAAGGCAGAAATTTAAAGCAAAATTGCCTACAGAGAGAGTCTTGTAAGGAAGATTAACTGCAAAACACTAAACTCACCAACCAAATAGCTTTAAAAAACAGCCCAATCAATTGGCAAGGGAAGATAAGCACAGGAAGACACAGTCTTTTCATTTTGAAGAGCTGTGGATACAGACTGGCAAGTTTTGAAAAACATACTGCTCAGTGACAAGTCTATCCGTTTCTTAGGTATTTTTCCTGCTTCTTCATCCATTGCTTCAAAGGGCATTTTGAGGTGCTTCCTCCTCCTTTTCTGAGAACTTCTCAAGCTACTTATTTTTTGAGAGACAGTTTTCATTCTGTGGAGCCACGACGATTTCTACAGCTGCCAAAGGCAATGTTGCCCATTTGTCATTTCCTTTCCCTTCTTTGAGAAGTACTGAGGCAAACTGTGTGAAAAATTGGAGCTTTCTCCTTTCCAATTCAGCGAGGGATGCTGTACCATCCTGCACTCACGGCAGCCAGCTCCCTCCCGCATGCAATTGTGTACTTTAATACTGGACAACGAGGCATCTAGGAGGACTTGGAGGGCAGCAGACTAATTACAGGAGAAGGCTGTACACATACTTATCTCAGTAATTACCCATCACAAGAGCATTCACGAGTTCAAGGAGACTTAGGAAGGAAATTCTCTCTTTGGACAAATCTACTGACCTTACAGGAACAAAGTGTTTCAGTACTGGCTCCATATCTATCAGAGAGCTGCCATATCACAAAAGTAGCATAATCTCCTGGGGCCTTGGGGTCTTAAAATCCCATAGACATGTTATGCTAGTAGTTTCCAAGCCAGAGCAAATGGTCTGCAGATCACAACGGGTTCCTCCTCATTTTTAATTAAAATGTGCTAATGGTGCAAGTTATCCAGGTAGCCACTGTATAGAAATCAGGGCTCATGGTAGAGGTGATATATTTTATTTTTTTTTATTTGTTTGTTTGCAAAAAAAAAAAAAAAAAAAAAAAAAAAATTGTTTTTTTTAATTAAATTTTTTTTTTGCAAAAAAAAAACAAAAACCTAGCTGGTCTAATAAAAGATATCACCTCTACCATGAGTCCTGATTGTCCCAGAGAATTAATTGCCCAAAGCAATAACACACAGTCTTATTGGGTCAATGGGTCACTGCCAACCCTTAAAATGTCTTGCACCATTAGCAATCTCAAGTCACTCACCTTACAAATGTTCGGAAGCCTGTTGGCCCCAACCTCGTCGTCCCCTTCACTCCCAGGAAGCGGATGAACAAGGCAGCTACCCTTTCTACCAGTCGCAGGTAATTGAACTGCTTGGCATACTTCGGAAACACTTGCTTAAGACAAGGGGAAGGTAAGCTGGCTTCTGGACTTTTGCTGCTATCATGCTCCAATTTGTCTGTTGATCCTCCTTCCGATAGCTGTTCTTTCTTTTCTGATGCAGGTTCAGAAGGTTGAGATCTGTAGCACAAAGTAATTGTACCTGGTGATAAGGGTATTACTGTAAAACATTGTATCAATTCACTATGGTTTGTCAGCAATTTTTATCATAAAATCCTATTTTCAGAGATTTATACAGTAACTTGGAAGAAAAAAGCTGTTCTAAGCAGGAAGAAGCCATGCAAGCAATTTTATATGAAAATGGGGGGGGGGGACTGAACTGTTCACTTGTCACTTTCCTGTTCTTGAAACTTTTATAGACAACTGGCTTAAGAAATCTTTATACTCATACTTCTGATACTCATACTTCTGATGCAGGTTCAGAAGGTTGAGATCTGTAGCACAAAATAATTGTACCTTTTTTTTTTTTTTTTTAATTTCAGTCCAATGGCCCTGAGAATGTAAAAGGCCAAGCAAGTTCTCTCAGTGACTAGGAGAGCCCACCTCTACAGTGAACTGGTCATTTGCAGTCCACACTCATCCCGTCCAGTATAAACTAATCAAAGATAGCACCAGTGATGATTTTTTTGGATCATATGGGTCTTTATCATTTGCTATGCAGAAGTCATCAGTTCACCAAGTAGATCTTGGAAGGCAATAATTCCTAGGTACTTCCTGCCTTATTCAACCTAGTGAATCAGGTGGAAAAGATCCCATCCCACAGCAATTTCTCAGAGACGATCAGAGATGTAGTTACCAATCCAAATGCCAAACTGCAAGAGCCAAGATATTCAAAACTGAGCAGTGATTACTGGGTGCTCAACAGACATCTGAAAATGAACTTGATTTTCAGGTGGATCTGCAGGCACCTTCCAAAAGTCAGGTTCTTGTAAGACCCCTCACATCAAACGTCCGAAAGCAGAGACATCCCAAATCATAGTCACTTTCCAAAATGTTGGTCAAGATCTATTCAAACAATCAGCAGGACTAGTCAAAATGTACCTGCCAGAAAAATACAAAAGCCTGGAAACCAACCTGCTTTATTAGGTCCATCACACTAGGACACTAGTGCATTTCATGTCTTTTTTTTCACCTGGACGTGTTTCCTCCCAGGCCTCCCTGCCCTTCTTAGCAACGCTTTTGGTAATGTTTAAATAAAAGCAGGATGTGGAAAGAAGTCCTGCAACACTTAGTTAACTTAAAACAAAAAGGACGGTTAAAAACAAGAGAGATGGCAAATTCCAAGAAATTACAAAAAAATCAAGTCAAACATTTTAAATCCAGTTTTGTGCAGGACATTTGAACAGAACTACCGGGGCTTGCTACTGCATCATCCCGGGGCATGCTCCCTCCGGAAATCAACCCTGAAGGGGTACAGCCACTCACAAGTACGAAGCTTTTCAGGCAGGTTGGAAGAGTTACCTCCACTGATAATCCCCAAGGTGAATCAGCAGTTCAAAAACAACAGGTGCCTTCAAATAGCAAAGCTCAGTGTCACAGCAGCAAGTTGCAAGAACAGGGGCACAGGTGGTGCTGGGAGCAATGATTACAGTAAGTCCCCCGAGCTCAGAAGAGGAGCCAGAGTGAGGTGAGTGACTTACCCACTGGCATGCTTAGGGCCAAAACCAAGCTGGATAGGGATCCAAAATTCAGTGCCAAGGAGACCAGGACCCATGGCACTAGGGCTATGCAGCAAAGAGGACTAGCCAGAACAAGGGCAGCCAGCACTGGACAGGTCCTGTTATGGTTTTTTTTTGGTTTTTTTTTTGAGCAAAAGGCAGAAAGCAGGGTGGGACCAGAGCTTGCATGAGGAAGACTGCTGCGCAGAAGAATGGGAAGCATTGCTATATCACATTCTGCAAGTGGGAAGAAAGACACCCAAGTGCCTTGAAGACAGCTGGGATAACAGGGAACATACAATCCTCTAGTTCACATTCCTCTTACCTTCCAGATGGCAAAAAGGGGCAAATAAATTCCAAGCAGCAACAGACCAGGCAGCCAAAGACAAAGCATGGCAGGAGGCTCCTGAAATATTGAGCAGCTAACCCTCTTCCGGTCCCTGCTTCCCTTTCCAGGGCTCTCCTGGCTCTGCAGCCCATCTGGTTGCCTGGGGGTGTTAATCCCTTCCACCTGGGCACCAACTAATCACAGCTGGAGCCATTCGCCAGCCCCCTTCCACAAGCAGAGTCAGGCTCTAAAATTTAACATGCCAATGAGTAAAATGCTCAGTATATTCTGGAAATCAGGGAGGTTTTCCAGACAGCCACTCACGGCTTGTTAAAAGATTTTTCTGGGGCTGAATTTGGGAATTTTAGGCAAGTCCTTGCATCGAATAAAGTAAACTGAAGTAAGCAGCCACTTGCTTCCATTTAAAAGAAAATGTCTCCCCTCCAAAATAGAAGGATCAAGATTTCTAATGATCTGTGGGGCAGACACATGGATTTCTGGTGTAGCTGGAAAGAGGCATGTCAGCTGGGAAAAGCAGAGAAGATAGCTAACCCTTGGCAGCTGTGCCCCATACATGCTCTGAGAGCCGCAAGCCCCGTCTGCCACCTTGTACCCAATTCTTAACCAGTCCTCAGTCATGACACCAGCTGCTACCTCTATTTCTCCTCCCCTTCCTTAGCGCACAGCTTGCAAATATAAATGCCCTCTCAATCCCCATGAACTGCACTCAACAAGTGATTCAAGCTATTAGATATGAATGGGAAAATGCATTTCCCGACAGAGCAGGAATACCGAATAGACTCAGAGGTGACGTGGAGAATGTGAACAAGATAGAGGAATTATATCTGCAATGCGAGTGCCAGAAGATTATCCCTCATTATCAGACTTACCAGATACACAAGTAATCACAAACAGAGTTATTTAGAAATTGTGTTAATTTAGGGGTTTAGGTCAAATCAAGGACTTTTGCCAAGGCACAGATTTGCATTGCTGCCCAGCAACAGAGCAGACTTATAAACAGTTGTGTGCGGTTTCAGTGCTCTCACAGCCACGTGCCTTTCAAACTCAACGCACACACAACTTCCTGCAGATCTGCAACTCTAACAGCTTTGTTTTTTGCTATTACAGAAGACAAATCCCACAACTGCTTGCAAACAGCTTTGTGACCATACACTAGCCAATCCCAAACCCACTCTGTGCACTGAAATCAAAATTATTATTCATGTCTTTTTTTTCCTACTAGAAAAACAAAATATTTCTTGAAGGAGGGCTTTTATTCAGCTCTATCATTTCTCCAAATTTCACTATCAAGCAATGTAGCCTCAGCTCATACTTTAAAATGGCAAAGGCAAAGATGGCCAGACTTTTCTATATACAGAATGGTCACATTAGCCTGGATATCCTGGATAGGTCCCATTTTGCTCAGACAGATCCTGCCTCCCTAAATTGCTCCTGCCATTTTGAATAGATACTATATTCTTCTTCCCTTTAAACTGGTTTGCAGACTTCTGTGACCTGTTAAACACTTGCTACCTTTTCACTCTGGAGGTGGGTGAACCAATCCCTTTGCATAGTCTGACCAAACACAGAAGTGTTTTAGGGTGAAAGGAGCTGTATACGGATAACCCTCCACTGTCAACATGCACCTTGGCTACCAGGGTTCACAAGCTGCAAGGAACACAACTCTATTACCCTGTGCATCCACAATTATTATTATTTAGGGAGGAGATGATTGAGACCTGGGAAGAAGAACACAGGCGTGATCTCTCGACTGCCTCAAAATCATATTGTTGTCACTACCTGAATGGTTGCAGAAAGGACTTCATTTCATCCTGCATTAGCAGCCCCACCACTGTCACCATATCAGTGCCATCTGCCACTCATGTTGTGCACATGTGTGGGGGAATCTCTCGTTGTGGCCTCATTTCCTTCAGTCCGTCGCAGCAGGTTATTAGTTTAGAGAGAACATAACGCAGAATTGCCTTCAGAAAATTAAAAGGCATTAGTTCAAAACACAGGTGTGAGCAGCACAGAGCCATGTCACAGCTAAGCGACTGCGATTCCAGATCACAAACCACATACCCACTTCTTTTAAGAGGCGGGGAGAAATCAAATCACAACTCAGACCGGGGCCACAGGGAGTGCAAGGTCAATAATATTGAGCCGAGGGAAGTCAATTTGTGCCCAGCTCCCTCGTTTCCAGCACAACAACAATACGATATCATCCCCAAGTAAATGAGCGCTGCCTGTTGCTCGGTTACTGATACAAAAACCATCACTGTACCTGCATCACTCTTCACCCACCCGCTTTCCAGGAGATTTCCTTTGTCAGGGTGGAGGTGGAGGGGCACCCGTTATAAGGAGGGGCACCCGTTATAAGGCTAAGGATCTTTGTTGTTACACTGGCAAGGATATCCTGCTACAGAGTCATATCGTAACATATTTGACTAAATCAACATAAGACTTTACTGTGATGGGGTGGGGATCTTAGGTCAAGGGAGACTGGCCAGGATACAAAGGCTTGCTCCAACCCTGGATCTTTGTTTTTTCTTCAACTTCCAGTCGGCCACTGAGCCCACCCACAGCCAGTGAGGTACAGTCCCGCACTGCAAGCTCAGGTGCGCTATTCCGTCTAATTCAAAGCATCTCTAATGAGAGGGCTTCCCGTATCTTCTTCGAAAGACTTTTGCATTACCTGGATAATCCAGCAAGATGTACAAAAGGGACTCACTTTAGCACTGCATGCAAAGGACAAGACTTCTTACACTGCTAGCTCCTGTAGTCCAGTGTGCCAGTTTTATGCATAAACATGCATTGAAATCATTCAGTGGAACTTGGACCCATGATCTTATGGCCCTACGGGAGAGCGAGCCAACACATGAGCCAAAAGTATCCTGCTGCCAAGCTCTCTGCTTTCTTTACATGTTTTAATCACAGAGGAGAGGTCTTTTTGCAACGCTGACATCTGACATTTGCTTAGCTTTCCAATTCCAAATGCTTATTTAGAAATTTCTTTCTATGGGCAAGCACCTTTACACTCGACCGTTTTCCACAGGTACCATTAGTGACAGCAGCACAGGATTCCTTGCTGACATATTTTGGAAAGAGAGATTTTGGAAGAAAACTATTTCCAA